ATAAAATTTTGCCAACACTTATCATAAACCTAACACAAATTTAGAAGGTTTGGCTACAGGACACACTGACTTAAGATCCAATCTTTAACCTTTTTGCTTCCCTTAAAACCCACTGAGTTTTGCAAAACTTTAATTTTCCTAATAAAAATTCTACATAGTTTTAATTTTTGAAAAGAGAGAAAACAGAGGTCACATTTTACACTTATAAGTGTAACCAGATAATCCGCAGAACACAGCTGACAGTGATGGAGGAGAGCCACATGACTTAATAAATGAATGATAAAAATGCCATTCTTGTAGAATCCTGAAGATTTCCTTCATGCTCTGCATGGAAACCTTCCTTTTTTCCTTCTCCTTCCCTTCTCCCTTGTAGTCCTCTCCTCTTTTTATGAGATCTGTTATCTTCTGTCTTAAGTCTGTAAGCTCTTTAAAGAAAGGATCAGCCTTTTGTTATTACATCACTGCAGCATTTAGTGTAAAGAACTTAGTGTAAATGGAGCCTTTAGCTTTTGTGCCATCATATAAACTGCTTCACCTCAGGAAATACACAGCAGGGCTGGAACTGAAGGATGCTGCACGTTTAAAAGGAAAGCATTTAAACCTGAAGAGTATTCTCCTTTCTCGTATAGGTGTTTTGCACCTGACAGAGGTGTGGGACAACCCATCTCCCTATCTTCTGTAGTTGGCATAGCTGCTTGAGTTTATTGGTGCTACATTAATTCAAGCTCTGTCCCTCAACATTCAGCCCTAAGAAAAATCCTGAAGTACTACAATTATTCTGCCTGATTTCTTCAAGCAGGGCTTTTAACTGAGTGCCACATTCCCGTTCCAGACACCACAGCTTCTCTTTGTCTTCAGCGTCAGGTAAAGTACTTATTGATTTTTTACATGTATGGTTACGACTGGGTCAGCTCCAGCTAGACTAACGTCTTTTCATTTCTTCTCCAGTACTGCAGTTCTTAAGCTGCTCTTCCCCACGCAGTACTCTGCCTCCTCAGACCCGCAGAGATTAAATGCATACTGCCATTGCAGCTTTGAAACACGCTGACAATTTTATTTGTTTGGAGACAGCACACACTTTCCATGTCTCTGCACAAGTTCAGCGGCAGACAGGTGCCAGGGGTCCCAAATACCCCTGCAATTCACTCTTTACTCTAGGGAAATATTTTTAATGGTAGCCTCTGGGTCTCAGTAAGCCAGAGTAGGCTGTCATTGTAGGGAGCTCATTCAGGATAGGGTATGCTGAACAGCAGCAGCAGTTATTAAGTACAATTTTCAGAGTAACCTGCATTTGCCAGGTCAGTGCCCCAACGAATGAATAACAGTTAGGAAGTAAATATTTCTGTTTGAAAGGCTGAGCTAATGCTTAAGCCAGCTTTCTTCTTTACAGTAGATATTCTCATTTGAGAAGATAATCCAATTTGCTTTGGGAGGATGTTCTAAACAAAGAATCTTTTTAAACAGAGCTGCATGTGAATTTTTGAGGGTTCAATATTTTGACTCAGTTCTATCCCTGATAATCAATATCCTCTAGAGAATTATCATAGCAAATATATACTCTCTATAGCATGGTACCTAGTGGATCCTAATGAAAATGCCTAGGCCACTCAAGCTTGAATAAACTTTTTGCAATTTATAGAGATAATTATTCTAGGATGAGAATCAATGATACACAATTTTTCATAGAAAACATTGAGTTTGCAGAAAATTCTGTGCCTTTGAACAGTCAAGAAATACAAAACTTTAAGACTATGAACATAACCATTCAGTGTTCAGAAAGAGAAAGTCACAATCACATACACTCCTCAGAAATTAGATAATATATCTCCACCTGTAAAGTTGCACTGCTCATCTACTTCATTTATCTTGTAAATTCTGCTCCGCAAACACTGGCATATGGAGCCCCATAAAAAATGTAGAAAAGTCTAGGCAAATAAAAAAGGTGTGAACTTGTATTATTTTCTAAAAAATTTTGAATAGAATACTAGATATTTTAAAAGCTAAAATTAAAAATAAAGTTGCCAATCCTTTGAAAATGTGAATATCTACAGATAATCTGTCCCTTTGACCTTACTTTAATACAAATGCCAGCCTTCCAGCTTTTACTCTTTGCACAGAGAAAACATTCATCTGAGAGAAGAGGGTTGGGTCCATTTCTCTTTTGCATGACTTAGCAGTCCTCTTGCTTGTAAAGAAATTTCAGGAAAATCACCCCCAATAAAGCTTAAATTTGATGTAATGAGAATAATTAAGAAAAAATAATACTGTTATGTCTGTCACGCTATATGCGTATATATTTAGCATTCTGGTCTTTTTCTGTGTTTTGATTGTCTGTGATAGACTTAAGTAAAAAACCCATCTGCTAAAGCCTCTGGATCCTGCATCTAACCGAAGATAACCATGGTTACAATGCCAAGTGCTAAGCATGAAATTGCAGGCTTTAGATGCAGCAGAAATGATATATTGGCTCTCTGGCATACGCAGACACATCTGCACCACAGCCCGTATTTGTATACTAAGAACAGACTGTTTACAAGATAAGGTGACTGACATTCTTAATTACAGATGCATACCTCCAGATAAAAGAAGATTATTATTTGAATAACCTGATTGCTTACTAGAATATTATACAGTGCTAGAGCTAATAAAGAGGCCTTAATATCTTTGAGACTAAGAGATGGATTTTTTTTTTTCGGTGGAAAACATACAAAATAGTTTGCTGCAAGAGAGATCTCTCCTGTAGATACATAATTTTACATATACTGGATGCATACATTCATACATACACACCCACATACTGGGAAAGAAGTAAGTGTGAGACATACTCAGGGCTAGGGCTTGAAGCAGAAAGGATTCTCAAAATTTTTCTCCTGACTTACAAGAAAGCAACTGTCACTACTATGTTATAATTTAACATAGGTTTGCTATCTGCTTGCTTATAAATTAACCCTTTTGAAGTGATAATTCAAAAAAACAAACAAACAAACAAACGAGTAGAGAGGTAGAACCAGGACTGGTTTAAGTTCTTTTTCTTAATTCTTTCCTGCAGCTTTTTGCTAATGATATACACAGTGAAATTATATCACTCATGCATTATTTAACAACTTGCCCTCTGGAACCTCTACTGCTTGAGCTTAGATGACTCATAAGCTTGAAATCAGGGTAGTTCTAGGCAATTTTGGTTTGAGAACATACAGCCACAGTGCACATGTTTTTCTACTTCCATTATTTTCAATAACTAGATTTTTTTTTTAACTTGAACTAGCTGCGGAAATGAATATGTCCTTGCTAATGACAGTTACAGAAAGGTGATCTAGATGTAATGACTGATTTTCCACATTAAAATGTAATGTTCAGATAAATTCACGAAAGTTAGATGCAGAAATCTTCACATTAGCAAAAATCGCTATGCTTTAATGAGTGTCCAGGTAGACATGAGAAAAATTGCCCAGCTAGACTGGAAAATAACAATGTCAAACATATATGTAATTGTGTTTACAGGGTGTCAGAAGTTCACCCATTAGCCCATATCATCCAAACTGTAGACAGATGTCAATATAATGTTACTAGCAGCCAGTGACCAAGCAGTAGTGAATCTGCCACAATAGTAGGCTCTATGCTGTTATTTTCCTGTTAGGTGTGTTTTTCAGGGCAAGCTTGAATGCGTTATCAACAAAATTAACTATGAAGGACAGAATCTGAAGTAAATATTAAAATTTGATTGTCCCAGCTGGCAGGCTTTAAGTTGGCAATCTAACAAAGCTGATGGTAAAAATACAGTGTAACATTCAGGGCCAGGTCTCTGCCTCGCAATCACATCTCAGATGATTTATCCTCAAGCAGAACAGCAACTTGTTAAAGATTAGTGACACACTGAAGACAGCAAAGTATTTGAAAAAAATAAGCACTACATGTTTTCCTTCTTTTGTTCAGTGTTCAGAGCACATCTTAGGACAACACTTTCCTTCCATAAAGTGACCTGCAAAAAGATGGCTGACCCACTACAAGGGGATTTCTTTGTTTGAGCTGGACCGTTTTGAAAGACTCCTCAAAAAACTGTCCAAATGTAGGCTACTAATAACTGCAAAAGGCAAAGACTCTCACACAAATGGGGCCTCATTCTGCCACGTTCAACATCTTTCCACCTTCTGAGGCCCATCAGAAGTCTAACTGTGCAATGGATGGTGGAATGGCGCAGCCTAATTACTTCCATTAACTGCTGTTCATGTTCACTGGGAGCTGTAGAGGGCAGCAATAAAACTGCCATGAGCTGGTTTGACAGTTTGTTCATCCTTCTGCTCAGCTGAGACCGAGACCATGTCTTTTAACTGTGCTCTGAGTATCAACTTAACTGGAGCATGACATTATAATAGGCATATATGTCCATTTCTAATATTCGCAAGCACATGCATAATCATACCCACCCAGAAATCAAGTGAAGCTCTGTGCTTTCAGGCACTTGATGCAACGTGGAATCTATTTGAACAGTAGAGAAAGTCAATTACATAGGTGAAGATCAGATGTTAGCCTCAAGACATTTCAGTCCAGAGATTACTTGCTTGTCAGGCTAATTTCAATGGCTGCGGTATTACACAAGGAAGAAAAAGTGGCTTCTCAGATAGAGAAGCCACAGACCAAAAGACCAAAATCAAACAGGTCTGTCTTCTTTAAAGACAACCCTGATGCAAAAAGGATGGCGAGTATCTACAGAAAACTAGTATAATTGGTACTGTATGCTGCAATTCTCATATTATCCTGTGATATGTGCAGCTGCAAGCTGGACACTCAGTTCTGGAGTAATTTTCAAAGGCATGGCACACAGCAATCACCCGGTCTAGAAGACCTGAAAGTACACATGCAGAAGTTTCGTGGGGATATTTGCATCCCTCCAGAGTAAATGATTACAAGAACATAAGCCTTTATTTAGTGCTCTCGAGTTATTTCTTGTTCATTTACTACAGATAGGCATCTTAATATAACTGACTTCTCCTTGATCAGGTGCCAAAGGGGTTGCAGTGCCAAGACTGGGGCAGAGAGGAGACACGGCCAGGGACAGGACTGCGTGACCCAGTAAGTCCCTTCTAGTTCTGTGCTCCTTTAATGAGGCAATATTAAAATATAGCTTATTTTCCCTTATAAAGTTAATTAAAGTTAATGAAAATCATTATCTCTTAAAATCTCATCACTTTGCTATGCCAGCATTGACTTTGTCTCAGTTATAACAAAACCAATAGGACAGTATCCTGCCTTTGTTTGCATAGAATAGCCCGTGCTATTTACGTGTTCTAACAGTTGTTTTTCTGACAGACTGTTCTTTCAAAGCGCATCCATCCAGTTGTACATTTGTACAGAGTCCAGCTCTCTGACTGAACTGTCATTGCCTTGAGGCATTACTGCAATGTAAACAATGCATAATCATTCAAACTACTCAAGGCCAAAGAATTGCAAATACAAAATCAATACGACAAACAAAGAAGTAGCAGGGGAGAGTAAACCCACAAAGATACATGTAAATCATTGCCAGACTTTTAAATCTCAGTGAGATTCTTTCTTGTGAGCCACTGAAGTTTCGTGTATATAGAATAACAGAAGGCTGTAGACTCCAGAGCACTAGGAACCCCAGAGTGCTGGTAAATCAACAAGAAATAATTAGAAAGAAATATGCAAGTTAGATGAAAAAAAAAAAGCCATGTTACTCTAAGATGTGCTTGCAGAGAGAAATACAGTATGCTTTCAGAATTTTAAATAGAACCCTGAAAAGACCTGCTTTTCCCAGAGTAAATCACAAAACACTAAAAGCATTTTCTGCCTTCTCATATTTCTGCACCCCTTGGTGAAGTCAGCAGCAGACCTGTGGCACAACCTTTCTCAAATGCTACCGTAGCACAGTGAGATCATAAAGCAGCATAAATGAGAGCCCCATGTAATCCTCACTGAAGAAGACACATTTCTGATAGAGGTGGAAGCAGTGCAGCCAGTTCTGCGCTCCCTGCCAGGAGGTACTGCCTTAGGCCTGTCAGATGCAAGTTACAGGCAGGCAGGCAGGCAGGATTTGTTGCAGGCAGCATATAGGTTAGGACTACACTCAAAAATGAGCCTATCATTTCTCTTCCTTCAGTCTGTCTCCTCTAGCCATAGTGTTCTGATAACTCTCAGATATCTTTCTTGACTTCTCAGATCCTTTTTGCAGTGAGATTATAACTACACAAACTCCCAGAAACTGAGGAATAAGGATTTTTCACAAGAAAATCCATAGATTTTCTATGAAGAAAGAAGAAAGTTGTCTTCACAGAAGGAAACAACTTTATTATTTATGAGTATGCAGTATACATCTATCTGCGGATTTACAGAAGCGGAAGTTTACACCAGAGTTCTCTTTGGCTGAATATGTCCATATTTGGGCTCTGCCACCACCTGCTCACTCTCCCTCAGCGATTCCACATGTCCCACCATGCTCCCCGTGCCAGTAACAAGGGACCTTCACGAAGAGCACGGGAATTTGCTGGATCCAGAGCCATCTTGGGAGAGAACCCTTGTGTGAGGATTGTCTGCGGATCACTTCTTAGCAACAGTATTTCAAAAGGGCATACACTATAAAAATGTCTCGGGAGTCGCTCAGGATCTATCAACTCTGTGGTGCCAAAATATACCTATCTCAATGCAATTTAAGCAGGATAAACAGTCTTCTGCATCACAGCCTTGTCTTCTTCCCTTTTCTCCCTTGCAGTGATTATCTTCCCTTAATACCTTAGTATTCTCTGTCTCCTCTTCTGGATGACTTGATGCCTCATATCCTCAAAATTTAGTTCTGTTGTTCAGTTATTAGGATATATCTTCTGGTGTACCTTTTTCATACACAACCATCTTACTGCTCGTCCAATTTATTGATCATCATGTTTCGTCTTTCCAGCCTCCTTGCTTCTCAGGGAGCCAGCCAAGGCCCAAGCTCCAGCAGATCCAGTTTTGCCTCCTTTCTACCACGTCACAGTCTTCACATGTGAATTCCAGATTACTCCCCCGAGGCTCAGTGTGGCACTGCTCCTCTCTCTTTCTTCTTACCCTGGATGTTGTTAGAGCATCGTGTGAGTTGCAGAATCTACCCCTTCTACATACTCGGTTGTCTGCGACTTTCATATGCAACTATAAATTACAGAGAAGTCCCAGGAGAAAATAGAGATTTGCTGGTATAACATAGTGGATATAAAGAATCTACATCCATTTTTTTGCTGTGGCAGACAAAGCCCCAGATTAGGGGTAGTATGAACAATATCACCCCTTTTCATCTATACTGGAAGTATGTGCTGTTTTTAATGGGAGGAGAGAAAGCAGATAGGGAGGGGACAATGGAAAGGTTTTAAGGAGATTGTTTGCAGTGAATGAGTAACAAGGGGAAATTTAGGAAGAAAACTGTACTACTTAGAACAGAGTTAGACTTTTTTAACTATATCTCAGGACTACCGCTCAGTGTTTTCTCACTCTTTTTCCTTCTCCTACTCTATCCTTAAAAGTCATTGACAATTATAATAATATCTAATCTATTTTTTTGAATTTTCTTTGCACCAAATTTCCGTCGTGGAACATAACACTGGTGGACAAATATATAACAAAATTATAGTGCCTCCCTGTCTTCAAAAGCTTTTCATCCTCTATAAGCTTTTAAGAAAAAAGCCAAAAGATACCAAAAAAATAAGGCATTTGTTGTCAACATTCTCTCAACTATAGACTCATGACAGCATCAGCTAAATGCTTTTACAATGTTTTCAAAGGCATTGCTACCAGGTAACATTTAAAGAAGAACTGCTTTACCTATATTTATAGGGAGCTTTTTCAAATGACAGGCAGAATAGAAGAGAGCAGAAAAGTGCTTGTCTGATAACGTAACTAGTGAATGACAGTGGCTGATATCATAGGCCAGTGAAAGGTAGGAACTGACCTCCCAGTACTGCCTGGGAGATGATAGATTGGATGTGCATAGGCCATGAAGGCTTTTGAATTTCAGGATTCATGTCACATCCATCACCTGATATCAGAGCATCTTCCTTCTTCAGCTCTGCCTGTATACTTGATTATTTATAGTGTTGTATCTGTTTAATTTAGGTTGTTAGCACCTTCATATCCTCGCACATGTTTGCAAAGCTTTATGGATATGTCTGATACCATATAAATTATGAATAATAATAAAATATTAGGCTATTTAATTTTTACAATTGTAAGTGCTTCAGGTCATATTATAAATAAGTCCATTCAAAAGTGCTTAACCCCGATCATATAGAAAATCAATAAATAAAAATATTACCTGGAATCATTTTCAGTTGAGAAGATATCAACATGATTAAAAGCAGTAAACTGAAATCGAGCTTTCATGGTCCAGAAATGTGTTTCTTAAACCGAGCTGCTTTTCTAGGAAAAAAAAAAAAACTCTCTTGATCCTAGTTGCATGTGCATGTCTGTGAAAAAACAGCTAGGTGGAAAAGTAATGCTTCCTTTATCAAAAGAAGAATTTGTTTGGCTTTCTTTAAGTATTCAATAATTATTCTCCATTTGTGAAGTGTTCTGTTGCAGTTTGCTCTTCAGAACACTCTTTGGATTTTCAAATGACAACAATACACATGATTTACATTTTTCTTTTATGTGAATGAGGTTTTATTATTGTTTATATTTCTATTATTTAAGCGCCATCTATTGCCACTGACTTTTCAGCAGAGTTCAGGATAGATTTTATCAGAGAGTTTTTCTCTTTGACCAGTGGTAGGCTATGGCCAACTGCCAGATATAGATTTTGGTAGAAAGCAGCTGAGCCGATTTATTGCTTCCTCATGGTCAGCTCCATGATGTGAGATCAGATAAGACTGGAAGGAAGAAAGAATAAAAGCACTTCCTAGGCTCTACTATTACACCAGTTCCTTCTGAAAGAAGTATTTCTCCCGCCTTATTTAATGAATGAGAACCTTTTTGAATAAATAGCTATGAAAAAGTATTTTTCCTGTCTACCAAATGAAGGTGAGATTTCACTCGCACTATCCCTCTCTATGCCTTGTCCTGTTTGTAGTGAACATATCCACTTTCCTTCTTTCACTTTATCCAGCAAAGCATGCACCATTCCCCAAAAAGTGTGGAGTCCTGTTCCATACATCGATGAGTCAGAAAAACACTGAAAAACATTGCTTTCAGTGTGTTCAGTTTTCATGCACTACACCAAGTTGTTGAAGATTTACCCTAAGCAGAGTGAAAATAATCTATTAAGATATAAATATTTTGCAATCTTAGAGAATGAAGGAAGCTATCAGATTAGCTTTCTGGAAAACCAGAGGGAAGCCAGGGAAACCAGCTGACCAAATTTCCATTGCATTTACAAAATTATGAGAAAAAAAAAAAAGATGAGAAAAAGATTTATCTTTCCTGTCCCCTCTTCACATGAGGTAAGTGCTTGTTTATCATAAAATAATGCTCTGAATTCAGTTGTGGGATTGAGAGACTTTTGACCCTTTAGAATAGGGTACTGAGGATTTTTTTTTCTTTTTTTTTTTTTTAAATGCTGTAGTGGGCTTTATACATAACAGATATTGATTATAAACACACCAAAAGACTTGCTCTTTTTATGGGGAAAAATTTGCTGACCAATCAATATAGCCTTTCAGATTTATGATTCTGATTTATACAGTAGTAGAATCTTTAATGTTGGGTTAGGCAGACTCCTTTCCTCTGTTGTTACCACTCATTGTACTTTAATGTCAACTAACAAGACAATTTTCTTTGCAGAGCCAATAAAACTTGTGACAAAATGAAAAAAAAAAAGCCATATTTTACTTTCTTTTATTTGTTTGAAGATTTTTGTGAATAGTATTCAGGCAACAGAGTGACTAAAATCTATTATCATAATATTCAAGAAATTTGTGTTAATCAAATTAGTATATAGTTAAACCCAAATTATTATATTGAATCAAATGTTCTGGATTTTCTTTTGGTAACTCATAAAAGGAACTTTATGGGAATGCTTTTGAATTTCATTCACCATTTACCTAGAATTATTAAATATTTACCACTATAAGAGAGTTCTTTAATTTTTCCAAAAATTTATTCTATACAGCTTGCCCTAAATGTTTTGAATGGTGCTATATATGCAGTTTATTCCTTAGTAACCTGATACTAAATTTTATTCTCACTTACAATGATATAAATCAAGAGAAAATCAACTGTAGCTAAAATGAAACGATACACAACTGTATATGTATCCAAGGCATTTAGAGGCCTGCAAAAAAAGAAACCTCAAAGAGATTGTCCAAGATTCTCTGATGGGAAAATTAATAAAAATATTCAAAAAGATAAATTCCTCTGGATTTTTTAGCCCTCTATTTTCAGATAAGTCAAGTCTTATATCAAAAGAGCTAGGAATCTCTTCTTCATTAGAAAAAAAAGTGAATAATTTGTTGTCTTTGTTCTTATACATGTCAATCAATACCAGAAGTGACGAAAGTCACACAGTCTAGACTATTCCAGCTGATCCATAGAATGTAAACATGAAACACTGCATACAGCCCTGTGTGTAGTCTATATGAAAGTAAAACAAATTGAGGACCAATATGGACATCAGCAGCACTTTTGCTGATCTTGAAAATGTTAATAGCACTGCAATAATGCAAAGCTTAAAGGTAGAGTATAAGGGTTCATTTGGCATACAGCTTTTGTTTGGCTGTTCCATTATAACTGATTAGCTGCTCCCCACTTTATCCCAAACACAGTGTACGCACATAGCAGATGTTGGTAGACACATGCTTGTCTTCTGAGGAGTGTCCCACTGTGCTTTGTCCTTTGTCATTGATGCATGACAGGATTTTCTGTGAGTAGACTGCTTAAGTTCATACCACAGCCTCCTCAGAACATCAGAATAAAGTGGTATATTTTCATAATTCACCCTTTTTTTTTGAGCACAGAGGCAGCAGTGATCCACCCTATACTCCTGACAGTCATGGAGTCATGCAAGATGGATACGCAGTGTGCTAGCACATTCTGGCAGGTATGAGGAAAGGCCAAAAGGAAGAGCACATTACAATGAACATTTTGGCATGGGCTAAAGGAAAATAATGTCATGATTGTTGTGGATGGATGCAGGAGAGTTTGCGGTGGACAGGTTAGCAAATGTCGTTACACCTGTGCACAGAAGTCTATTCTTCACTTGCAGGACAGCACACTGAAACAGGACTGCAGAAAGCAACGAATAGAGTTATTCAGAAAGGCTAAAAACCGATCAGAATTTATCTGAAAATGAGCATTGCAGTAGGTTGAAAGAACAGATAAACTGTCATGCCAGTAGATTCACTATTCTGCTTTGGGAAACCAAATCTAACCAAGCATTCTGAGCATGTCTGGTATTTATGCTTCCCTGTTATAAATACACCTGGCTAGAGCTACTGTTGACATAAATCAGCTTGACTTCAACGGAGGAATACCAAATTACACCAAGTGAGGATCAGGCCCCATGGAAATACTGTCTGTCCTATTCATGACATTCTGTTGGTTCTGAGGTCAGTACTTCGTTTATCTTCCGTCCCCGGTACAATACTACGATTGTTGTAACTATGCTGCTTTGAGTCTGCTGCACGTAATAGTATTATGCAACTGAGACAGTCTTTCATTTGCCACAAAGCACCCATTTTTCAAAGCAGATATCCAAAAGCTTTTATTTGCTCCAGGCTCCAATTAATATTCTTCTAGTTTCCTCTCATGAGCAAGTTGGTCCCATTAAAGGAAGCAGAGGTCTGAGACCTGACCATGCTCTATTCCCTAGCTGACACATCTTCATTTTCACACGCACAGTCTCTAATTTCAAACAGCTGTTTATCTATTCCCTTGTCCTACCCTGTGTCACTGTTTGAATAGGCAATGTTAAATGCTGTCACTTACCCTTCCCATTTGTTCTGTACTAATCAGAAAGAGGATATGCACAGGATTCAGTCCACCAATAAATAAAAAAGCAAAGATGACCACATGCAAAAAAAATGAATAATGATAAAGGCAAGAGCGTACTTACTTCTCAGACTATGCTGGTATTGTAGATGGTGATTTTGAGCACAGAAGCCGGTCAGAAGAAGTGGGGAGACAAAAGACCTAAGTAAATATTAGTACAGCTAAAAGCACAGGAACAAATTAATACTAACAAAGGAACTGACAATGTATACTAATGAAGAAACTGACAATGTATCATTTGCTGCAGTCTACGTGCCCCCACTACCTCCTTGTGAAATGTGCCTTATTTCTGAATAAAGAACAACCTTTAATGGCTCACTTAGGAGCTCTGAAACACTCCATCATGCATCTGCATCCCCCATATTCTTTAGGCTTTTTCCTCGCAACCGTACCTAAGTTTAGGTCCCTAGAGTTTAGAGTACAAGGCAATGCAATGAATATCCCTTTATAGTGTTAGACATAGCCATT